ATTTGCTTCACAACGTCGACCCCTGAAGGGGATGCGGCGCGACCCATTTGGGAGGCGGCGCGACCCACCGACCCCATCTGCTCGGACCCCATTTGGGAGGCGTTGATGCAGGTCTCGACCTATTCCCTGGGACAGGCTCTGCATCCCGAGTCGTCTTTTGACGGTCCGAGGCCTTCTGTAAGCGCCTCAGGAGGCCGAACATAGAGAAACACCGTGTTTTTTGTTCACGACTCGAGGGGGTCTGGGTCCAAATGAGGATTGTGGACGCCCGAAATAGTAAAGTACGAGAAAAATTGATGCGATGCCGAACAACAAGTATCGTCCAAAACAGACAGCGGCCGCTGTTGGCCAGGCGGCCTTCCGTCTCGGATGGACCACGTCCGCGGCGGCACCCACAGCGAGCCCTGTTCATGGGGAACCCAAAAGGTACCGATGCCGCTACTCCCCGGACGTCTCCCCGGGTGCAGTCTGACCAGGATTTCCAAGCGAATCCAGCGGTGGCGACGAGGGCCTCCCAGGAGGCCCAAAAAAGGGGGAAATGGGCGAGGGGGTCGAAGTGTATTTGGGCGCCCGAGTTATCCGAGGTAACTCGGGTCCGGGGTAACGCGGGTTTGAATTCCCGAAAAACAAACCCGAGTTAGCCCTGACCCGAGTTACCCCTGATGATTTGGTGCTCTGGACGCCCGAATTATCCGGGGCAAGTCGGGTCCGGGGTAACGCGGGTTCGGAATCCCGAAAAACGAACCCGAGTTAGCCCTGACCCGAGCTACCCCTGATGATTCGGGGCTCTGATCTATGGCCACATCTTCCTCCTCGGAGTTCGGGAGGGACCGGACCCGCTGCCGCTCGTCGAAGCCATCCTTCCCTTTGCCCACCCCGATCGCACCGATCACTGCTGGGCCCCGCGCCCGCTGCCGCCGCCCCGCGCCCCGCCCTCGCCCGGCCCGCCGCCGGGAGCACGAAGGCCCGCGCGCCGCCGAGGATCGGCGGGGCGCAAGAGTGTTAGAGTCATGCCGTCGGGGCGCTGAGCTAAGGAGCGCCGAGTAAGGAACGAGGCCCCTTTTCTCCACAGGTGAAGCTTCGATGTTTCCCATCGGGAGCCTGCGCACAGCATACGGCAAGATGTGAAGCGAGGAAGGAGCACGGAGCTCCTCCCCATCGAAAAGGGCTCCTTCTTCAGCGCCCCGACGGTAGGCAAGAGGGACCTGTGGAGCGCGGCGTCCGGGGGCCCACGGGGACCCCAGGTCCAAGCGCGCGCGGGGCGGTGCGGTGGGGACCCCCGTGTGGATTTCCAGCTCAGCTCAGTTCGGGGATCTGGTGGCCCGGATCAATCCAGACCCGGGTCAGCAGGAAACCAAAAAACTGCAATGCAGGAGAGAAAACTGCAACGCAGGTCTTCGCAAACCCGGATCAGCCACTATGCGCGGCCGCCTCGCGGCTCGCTGACCCGGGCCAGCCGGAGGGGGTCTTCGCAGGATCCCTGCAGGAGATCCGGTGCCCTGGCTGACCCCCGTTTGCATTGACCCCCGTCTCTTGCCGTCGCTCGGACGTCCCTTCCCTGTTTTTTTTGGTTTCGTGCGTGGGTTTTTCGCCAGATGATCAAGGATGCTCCTCGATGGTCCTCGCCGAAGGAAAAATTCGCACGCCCGAGCGATGCCGAGCCCGTCTCTTAGGCCCCGCTCAGTGCTGAGCCTGCGCGCCGGCGCCCGCCGGCTCACTGCACCGCACGCGCTGCACCAACGCCAGCGACTCCGAAAGGTGTGGCTTGCTCGGGTCGGGGATAGCAAAGGGGGGGTTTGAGAATCAGCTCACGTAGCTGACTTTCCAGGCGCCTCCCGGCGCCAGAGGCGGCTATGCATCGAGGAATGGGCCCTTCGGTGAGGCCGAAACCAGCTGCATGCAGCAAATTTCGTAACCCCCCCTTTCCAAATCCCCCCTTTCGTCCGGCCCGACTTGCAGAGGGCGCAGCTTGCAACCCGCACCCTGGGGGGCCGGCCCTGAGGGGCGGGGGAGCGGGGACCTCGATAGAGCTCTCCACCGCGCCCCGGGGAGGCCCGATGAGAACGCTGCCGTACCCCTCGAGGCCCCACCGGTGCCGATCGCAGGCCACACCCTGGCGTAACCCTACCCTCTGCAGTCGCCGACAGAGGTCACTCTGGCGAAAAGGCCACTCTCACGCCCCCCCGAGAGGAGGGCGCAGCCCGCCAGCGCCAGCAAGGCCGCCGCGAGGCACCGCGCAGGCCGCGCCCGGCGGCCGCTGCGGCTCCGCGCGGAGCGCCCCACCGCCGCCGCGGCGGCGGCCATCGCTGCCGCGGCCGCGGCCCGGCGACGGCGCCGAACTGCAGCGGGCGCGCGCGGGGCCTGCCTGCGGCCAGAGGAGCTGCGGCCCACCTTCAGGGGAGCCCGGCCTCGCAGTCCTCTCCGAGCCCGGGCGATGTCGCGAGAGCCCCGGGACCCTCACCATGCGCCCAGCCTCCCAAAACTGCCGCAAATCGACTGGGTCTGGGGTTCCAGCCGTGACGTTTCACGCCGCCGCATCTCTTTCCGCGTCGTTGGGTCTCCAGGACTGCCGCCGCCGCCGCCGCCGTCGTCGCTCGGCGAGGTCCCACCGCCGCCTCGTGCCTGCGCAGGGCGCAGCTGCGAGACCTCGGAGGACGGAGGGGGTAAGGCGTCACCCAGGGAGCAGGGCACCGACCTCTGCCTCGGCGCGGTCCTGGCCCCGTCCCGTGGAGGGGAAGGAGCCACTCAGGGAGGGAAGCCGGGCACCAGCTTCTGTCTCGGCGCGGCCCCCGTGCCCAGCACTCGGGCCCCTGCTCCTGCACGCCCCGGGGCAACCACACCTGCGTCGAAGCATCGCCGGTGTGCGGACGTTCTGCCCAGATTGCTGCCGCAGACCCGACGGACACTTCCTTTCTGCGGCACACCACTGCTGCAGTGCCAACGCTGCGGCCGAGCCACGGCTCCAGTGCCAGGCGCCTCCCCGACGCCCGCTGGCAGGAGGCCGCGCGCGCGCCTCCCTCGGCCCGGCAAGGCGCCCGCGCCGCGCGCCTCGCCAGGAGCCGCGCCTCCGGGGGGCCCTCCGAGCACAGGGGGACGGCACGCAGATGCAGCCAGAAGCAAGGTCAAGAAACCTGGGCAGTTGGGGATCGGCTACACGCAGGAGTGGCCCTGGGTAATGCGGGATGACGATTAATAAGAAATGGGAGAGAACGATTAAACAAATAGTTGTCTGCTATTTCTGCACATTTTCTAACTGGACCTTTGGTGCGCGGTTTTTGGGGGGCCGCCGGGGGGGCCAAACACGGGCGCGCCAGGCGCCACTATATCGCATCGCGTTCGGGGATTTGGGAACCCCATGGTGCCCGCGCCAAAGGTCACTCCAGCGAAAGGTCAGTTTTCGAAAACCTGGGCCACCTCCCCAGAGGGCTCTTTTCGCAAACCTGGGCCAGTCTCAGCTGGCAGCGCACGAGGGGCGAACGCGCTCGAGAAGCCGGCCCAGCTTCCCAGCAAGACGGCCAACACACGCCGGCCCATCCTTTCGGGAGGTGGTTTCTTGATCAGATGCTCGACTTTTAGGACGAGGTTGATGCGATGAGTGGACTGGCTCAGGATACGTTCTAAGATTACCAAAACATCTAGCGGCCCTCGTTTCTGCAGCCCGCGTGGGCCGGAAGGACATCTAGGAATTTCGGAAGATCCTGGAGCATATCATTATCACGCCTCGGAAAGAAAGGCTTTAAAGGTGGGGCTGCGACACATGAACGGGCACATCGCGCAGGATGCACTGCTGCCGAGATGCCCAGGTCGACGCTCGGGCAAGAGAATCGACCCGATGTGCGCGGCGAGGTCCTGCAATGGGTCGCGGCGGCACCACTGCGACACCAGGGCGGGGCCCGCTGTGCTGGTCCTGCGCCCCAGCTGGGAGGCAGGCGCTTCCAGCTGGCCCGCCAGGCAGGCGCCTCTCTTCCAGCAGGACCGAGCAGGGCCCGGGCCCCGGGCCGAGGCGTCGCCGGCGCCCAGCCCTCGTGCGAGCACGCGCGGTGGGCGACGCCGCTCCGGCGACCCGTCGGGGAGCCGCCCCGCCACCCGCCCCTTCGCGGGGCGACCCTCCGAGCTGCCCGCCCCAGACCCAGCGAGCACAGCAGCCCCAGCTCCGCGAGCACCGCCCAGGTGGACCGCTGGGGTGGGGGACCCAGAGAAGCCCGCGCCCACGCCGAGCGGCTCGCATCGAACCGATGCGCGCTGGCACCGTCTGCGACCGCGATGAGCCAGCGCCCGAACCCGACGGGCGACTCCGCCTGCGACTCGAAGGCCCCAGGGAGCGGGAGGGCACCCGAGGGCAGCGTGCCCCTCGCCAGAGCTGCGAGGAGCTGCGAGGAGGCCGCCCGCAACCGCGCCCGGAGGGGGAGGGGGAGAAGGAGACGGGGGAGGAGGGGAGGGGGTAGTAAGGAGAGGGGGAGGGGGCTAGGAAGGAAGGCGGGGGCAGCGATGGAGGAGGAGGGAGGAGCGAGGGGGAATAGCGACAGGGGGGGGGAGGGGAGGAGGGGGACCACCAGATCAAATCCGAACGATACTGATAGCGGGGGGAGGAGCTCATATACCGGGAGGAGGGCGGCAGGGGGGTGAGGAGGAGGTGGAGGAGGAGGTGGAGGAGGAGGAGGAGGAGGAGGAGGGGGAGGAGGAGAAGGACGAGGAGGAGAGGAAGAGGAGGAGGAATGAGATGCTTGTTCCGCCCCCTCCCGCTAATTCGCGCGGTGACCCCATCTTCCCCCACTGCGACTTTTCCTATCGCGGTGTGCACCGAATATCGTCGGGTTCCCAGTGCGCATGCCCGTCCGCTCACTTTCCAAGCCCCATCCGCGGCATGTACCGCACCTAATGAAGGAAGGCAGGCACGTATTAGCGCCCACCAAACACGATCCCGCGGCTTTCGACGACGCTTCGGCAGGCAACTCCTTTCCATACCCTTTCTCCTCTCATCCAGCCCCCTGGCCCAAAACAAATTGAGGAGAGTCTCCTTCTCCCACGCATCACTCATCATCAGCTGGTGCGCGAGGACGAAGGGCTGAGTGGCACTCTCCAAGCGCTCGCAAACTTCTCTAAGCTCGTACGAGCTGCAGCCGCCGTATACGCTGCAGCAGCCAATCCTGCCAGATTGGGAGGGGGTCGGCTCACGAAATAGAACACCGCCCTTGACCCTGCCAATTGCCCCTCGCCGCTTCACTCCCCCTGGTCCCCCTCTGCCACATCCCCATCCCCGCCGACCACCTCTCCTCCGTTTCCTCCCCACCTTCGCCTTCCAATCCCCTCCCCACCTTCCCTCTCAAGACGTCTCAACGACTGCAGCGGACCCTGGCAACGAAAAACAACGACAATAATACAATGCAGCGGAGGCAGAGAGAGAGAGAGAGAGAGAGCAGTGACAGAACCGTGGCGTGCTGTGAGCACAAGAAACCTGAACACGGGCGGGACCTGCCATCATCGAACCGGAAAATCGAATCGGGTCCGAACGCGCGTGGGATCAAGCTGCCTCGGCAGAGCCAGAATCGAATGGAATCGGCCGCGCCAGGGTGCACAGCGACGTCATGCGAGCGCCGGGCCGCATCGGATCGTCAGAACATCGGGATCGCATCGGATCGAGCTGGTCGGCATCGACATCGAGCAGGATCGATCGGATCGAGGAGGGCCCTGCCTCCCCCGCCCCCCTCCTATCCCCCTGCTCGTCGTCCCCCTCCTGCCGCCAGCGGCCTGCAGGCCGTCCGTGGCGGGGGCAAAGGGCGCAGGGCTCCTCAGCGGCTGCAGGTCCAGCCGCGCGAAGTGCCGCCAGAACTCCTTCAGCCGCTCGCCGCTGGACGTCTGGGAGGGGTGCGGCGGCGGAGGAAGACGGAGCCAAAAGCTCTGCCCTTGACCCTCCACGATCGAGGGGTGAGCTGCTTGTGCGCTTCTGGACGGCAATGTTCCTGGCCCTTCGGGGCCCCCAGATGCCTCCGGTGACCTTCCAGGACATCTGGGCGATCCCAGGACGTCGGCGTGGTCGCAGACGTCTCTTTCTGTGTTGACAGATGCAGCCCGTTGCAGCAGGTGCTTAGGAGCCAACATGCTGCACGCTCGCGTTTTCCTTGCTCACCGATACAGCGGTTGCAGCAGGTGCCACTCTGGGGTGATTCCTCCTTGGCCTCCTTTTTTCGTCGGCCTCCTCTTGGCTGCTTCCGCCCCGAACAATCGCGAAATCACCCCGAACGGCAAAACTGCAACATCTGCCACCGTGCACCCTGGCACGTTGGAGCGTGGTACGATGTCACGTGCGGTCTGGTACAGGTTACGTGAGCTTTCTCAATGCCCCCCCGCACCCCCTCGCCACATGCAATCGCACGCACCGCCCTTCCCTCCCGAGGCTCACTCGGCGACCCAGCGCCTCCCTGGGGCTCTCCAGAACTCTCCAACAAAGCTTGCAATACTTCTCGAAGGGCACCAAGGCTGCCACGATAAGCAAACATCGCACCAAGAGCTACCATATGCCCCCCGATACTCCCAGGAAGGCCAGCACGGCTGCCACGAGACACACATTGCATCAAGCGCTACAAAATGCCCCGAATAGTCGCCACAGGGGCTCCAAGAGGCTTCCGATACAACGAAAAGAAAACCAAAAAGGACTCCAAGAAAGACAACATTTTGGGTGTTCCGGGGCCTCTCGGCTGAAGATGGTTCAACAGCACCCCTACGAAGGTCCCACGAAGACCCCAGGTGGCCCAGGACAGCCCGAAGAGAGCCCAAATAAAGCCCAAGAGGGCACCAAGAGAATTCAAACGAGCCCCAACACCAACACCCCACATACGGCCAGGAGGGGTCCGAAATGGCCCGCCCAAGGGGAGCCCAAGACGGCCCAAGAGGATCTCAAGACGCTCCAAGACGGGCCCACATGGGCCTAACAAAAAACCCACGCAAGACGATGCAAGACGGCTCAGGCAGACGCAATGCGAGCCCCTCAAAGAATCGATGCATAAGGTGTCGCATGTCACGGCCCTCTCGGCGGTGCTCGAAGCGTCTCCACACAGATGGCGGAACTTGCCGTGGACAGCCGGAGAAAAGGCACAAGTAGGGCGGGGCTGCCACAAGCAGCACGTGATTGCCACGACGCCATCACAAACTCGATTGCACCGAAGCGTGGCATCGAAAAACTGCGACGACCTCAGAGCTTGAGGATAGCCCGCTCCTCCTCCTCCTCCTCCTCCTCCTCCTGCTCCTGCTCCTGCTCCTGCTCCTGCTCCTCCTGCTCCTCCTCCTCCTCCTCCTCCTCCTCCTCCTCCTCCTCCTCCTCCTCCTCCTCCCCCTTCTCCCCCCCCTTCAGCCACTTCCAGGTAGCACACCTTTGTGGCAGCGCTCTTGGAAGTGGTGTTGCCGTCACGAGCACAGAGCACGGCACCAGCAGGCCGCCGCTCCGCGACAGCGCTCCGCCTCCGCTGCCCAGAACAGAATCTGGCGTGCGGCGTGCCAGCAGTGTGGCAGAGAAGGGCCGCCCTGGGTCCAGGATGCAATCGCTGTGCGTGAGCCGTCCACGTCGTATCCGAAATGGCCTTGCGGGAGTTGGAGCAAAGGGCCCGCTCAGTCCACCAGCGCCGCGGAGGCGAACAAGAAGGAGGCGCTGCTGCAGGCCAAGCAGGAGCTGCATCAGAAGCTGCTCGCGAATCCTGGAAAGCACGGCGTGTCGGTGGAGCAGGCCAAGGCGGTCACGGAGCCTCTCGTTGAGAAACCACAGCCCGATCAGGAGATGCTGCCTGCGAAGGCTGAGCTGTCATCCAAGTCGCTACACGATCTACGTCCACGGAGGATCAAGAAGGAGAGGAAGTTCGAGAAGGCTTCTGAGCGCGTGGAGCCAGTGCGAGAAGCGCTGGCGGCCAAGCAGACGGAGTTGTATCAGAAACAGGAGTATCAGAAGCAACGCCGGCAGACACTATCGGAGCTCGAGATGGTCATCACGTCGAACCAAATCGCCGGTGCTGTTCCCTCGGCAACGTACACGGGAGGCAAGCCGCTCGATGCTGCGTCCTCCGGAACATCCCTCGGCCCCATCGAGGAGATGCGTGGGACGATCAAGTCCTCGGAGCATTCGTCATTCCCATGGATTCTGCAACCTTCATTCCCGTGCTGTTGTATCTCGTGTGGCGCGAGTGTGCAGCACAGTCGCAAGTCTGGTAAGGGCCTCGCTGGGCCTTGTCTGGGGCCCGAGCATGGCGGTCTAGCCATCCGGAGGTCAAGTATGAGACGAGGCCTTCACCTCAATTCGACGGATAGCCCCCACCCCCCCTGGAAGCTCGGCGATCTGTCGGAGCCGTCGTTCGAAGTCCAAGCTATGTGGGAAGGGAGCCTGTTCCCCTTGCGAATCTCGTAGCGGAGCGCTGACCCTGCGGCGTTTACTGTGTATGGGTTGGATACCCCCGAGGCTCCTGAGATGTATCGAGTGGCACAATTGCGCGGGTTTGTTGGCCCTCGTGAGGCGGTTGAATGCTGCCGTGCCGAGAGGCGCCGAGATCGCGAGGCCCAGCTCTTGATGTCTCAAAGCGTATTTCTTATTTCCGGAGCCCGGCTCTCAAATCGCTGGGCCGCTGGAAGCGAGAAGCGTCGGTCCATGGCCGTAACGCCCCAACGCTCTTCTCCCCCCCTCCCTCTGCAGCGCCGCGGCCTTGCGCGATCCCCTCGGGACGAGCAGGGAGAGGAGGAGGAGGCGGAGGAGGAGGAGGCGGAGAAAGAAGTAGGAGCATGAGCAGGTGCAGAACGAGGCGGAGGGGGAGGAGGAGGACGAGGAGGAGGAGCCTGGATCGGGAGCTGCCGCCCGCAGACCGCGGGGGACGCGCACACACAGCACCACAGGAGCCCCCTCTTGTTCGGCCCGTGGGGTGGGCCCGCTCTGCTCTCAGCGTGCCGAGCCCCGTGGACCGGCAGGGCCGACAGACTCCTGCTCGGGGCCGACGGACTCCTGGGCCAACACAGAGGCTCGCGCTGCGCCGCACGGTCGCAGGCGGCCTCCTTGGGGTCTCCGGAAGAGATCCCAGGAGAGGCGCGGGGAGGAAGAGGAGGAAGAGGAGGGAAGCAGGAGGGGGCAGGAGGATGAGAGGAAAAGGGGGGGAGGGTGGCGAAGGGGTGGGAGGAAAGGAGGTCCTGAGCCGATCTCAGAGACTTCAGCTCCTCGAAGCTCCGCGGCATGCCATTCGGCCGCTCTTCGTTCCCGTCTGGGGCGGAGAACGCGGGGGGCCGAGGATCAAAAGCCCTTCTCCATCCCTCATGTTGTGCGTTGTTGATATTGTCCTCGTTGTTGCTGTTGTTGTTGCTACTGCTGCTGCTGTTCTTGATATTATATCTAAATCTCTCTCTCTCTCTCTCTCTCCTGCGATGTATAACTCGAGGTACTTCACCACGTTCCCACTGCCGTCAGCAATGCATGTATACATCACTGTGTATGTCTCTCACGCGAACTCACCCTGACGTTTGTGTCTGTACCCCGACTCAGTACGAACAACATGTGCCAATCTGCAAAGGAGGTCCTCTTCGCGCGAGGGAGAATGACTGCCCATGTCATGTACGATTTTTGCAACTTTCAGACATGGTGAGCGCTGATGTGTGTTTCGCTCTATCGTGCAGAGAATACTTGTTGCGCGGCACCCTGGCAATTGCAGCAATCCTTCTCCTGCGCGGCTACGCACTTTCAGTATCGGCTGGTTATCGGCGTATCATGCGCGACTGTCTAACCAACAATCTCAAAACGGGGACCGGATCTCTGCTCTCCGCATGTCGGCGGTCTGACTCCTTCCTTGAACGCAGAACTAAGCATGCGAAACATAAACAATCCGGATATGTGGTGAGCTTCCATGTACTTACACAATCACGGACATGAGCAGTTCATCAATCGGTCAGGGAAGTCGCGCACACACTCAGCTTTACTACAGTATGGGGAAGGGTGGACGGCCGAATGAGGAGGGTCGCAAGGGGAGGAGGCGCGGGAAGTGTCAAGTGGGACGTGCTCTGTAGTACACTGGCTGCTGAATAATGGATATGTGCCAGATCTGCCATCACGCCTCGAGCATATAGCAGCATGCCGCGTGCCCTTCCTGACCGTCCCATGGGGCACGAGCAGATGCTGAAAACGACCCCCCGTGCCCCTCCTCGGACACACGGTCCCCCCTCGCTCTCCTAATTCGACCCCCTTCACGGCTCCAGGGCTGCCGAACACCGTCCCAGGCGGGCTGCAGTACGCCCAGGCACCAGTAACAGACCGCACACAGATACAAACCAAGGCCCAGACATGTCCCCAACGCGGCCCCAAGAGGCCCGAAGGAGCCCTCATGAGCCCAGAGCTCTCTGGCAATGCCCGTGCCCTAATGCTTATTAGCTCTCACGTCTGCCGGTATCATCTCGCACTGGATTGATCCGACCGACCGTCCACCCAGCCCCGCCTCCCCCCCCAGAGAAAGCCTGCCAGACGCCCCCAGCAATCACTCCGCGGGCTCGTCATTCAACATGGCCTCCAAGATGGTCTACGAAGGACCCCTGACTGGCTCCAGTGCTGCCCAGTAGGGTGCAAAGATATCCCCGGAGGGCTTTAAGATGACCCAACAGACCTCCAATATTACCCAAGAAGCCTTCACGACGACCCCTAGGAGGGCCTCCAAAAAGAGAAATCGTTGGTTCCCATCAGGTTGTTCAACGGTTTGCACGTTCTCGACGTTCTGACTTCTCGGCGTCGCACTCCCGACGAGGCCCCCAAAGATCGCCTCAAGAGAGCCCAAGAGGCTCCCAAGACCCCAAGACAGCCTCAAGACAGGTCAAGAGGACCCCCAGACGACCCCAAAGTGCCCCAAGACGGCCCGAAGGGGCCCCAGGAGGTACCCCAGACGGCAGCGGCCTAGACAAGCCCCCCAAGACGTCCTCCGAAGGCACCAAACAGCCTAAGAGCGCCCTGAGACGACCGAGAGTTCCCCAGAAGGCCCTCAAGAGGGCTTCAAATGCCCGGACATAATCTCACGGCAGCCCCTGGTTCAGCGAGTCAGTTCTTCCAAGCCCCCCTTCTGCATTTCGAGAACTGGTGTCCCCCTTCTCTGGGTCTGGACTACCATCACCACCCCACTGCCCGCGACGCAATTGAGCGTTCAAGGCGGCCCAGAATGTCTCCAAGATGGCCCAATGCATCCCAAGATGACCTCCACGATGGGCGCAACATTATCCAACTATGACCGCCAGCATGCTGTCACGAGCCTCTAGACTGCCCCAAGACGCCTAAGACTACTCCAAGTGGCCAGGGAGCCGCTCCAGGATGGCTTCAAGAGGGCCCCGGAGACCACCAATAGGGCCACAATAGAGCAGCACAAGCTCCCAACATGAGCCCAAGAGAGCCCCAAGATGGCTCCAAGGTGCTCCCAGAGCGAAATATTCGCGAAACCATTTATGGTCGACTCCTGTCGGCATCGTCGCTGTTCAACTCCCCCATTCCCTCCTCCCACCTGACGATAACCAATAGTTTAGAGGGAAGGTGTTTCGTCAAATTCATCTTCCTCCTGCTCGACATTGTCCCCTCATATATACATATATATATATATCTTTCCGCCCCCTCCTCCCCCTCCTCTCTCCTCTCGCCTCCTCCTCCTCCTACTCCTCCTCCTGTTCTGCTTCTTCTTCCTTCCCCCTTTTCATCCTTTCCTTCTTCTTCCTCATCCAGTATCTTCTTCCTTCTCATTCTCATCCTCCTTCCAAAGCGCCACGCAACTACACGTATAGCACACGTGGCTCGCTCACGGGTCTGCCCAGGCCGATCCCGAGGTTCGGCTTGGCGGCTGCACCCCTCGATGCTCCACTGAGCGCCGCCACGAGTCCCTTCCCAAGGAAGCTCGCACTGGCATCGTTCCCAGATTGACTACCTACCAGACCACCCCAACCCAACCCGAAGACTCGAATTTCGGGTTGGGGGGGGCAAGGGTTCCATATATGTTTCTTCGATGTTTCCCGACCCCCCCCCACACTGGAAATGTAGGGTAAATTTGAGCCTTCGGGTTGGGTTGGGGTGGTTTGGTGGGTGGTGACAGATGAGCCCGTGGCGATGACGCCCGAGCGTCCACAATATGACCAGGGGGGCCGGGAGGCAGGCCCCCCCGCACGCGCAGAGGCTGGGCAGCCGCTGGGCTGCTCTCGGGCACCCGGCTACGAGGGAGAGGCTGCGAGCGGACGGCTCCGGGGGAGCCCACGGGAGACGGGGCAGAGAAGGTCGTGCGGGTCGCTCTAGAGCGCGCCACGGGCGGGCGCGGACCTTCGAACGTGTATGTTTACACCGCTTCTGTCTTCGTCGAGGCAAGGAGGAAGAGGGGGGAAGGGGCGCGGCACCATGCATACTCACTCGAGGCCCTCCCCCAGGGGAACAACAAGTGACATGAACATAAAAACTCGGAGGTCCGCGCGAACTTCTCGGATCGGCGCTGGACCCACCTCCCTGGCGCGCGGAGCGCGCCAGGGGCGGCGCCGGATGCGCCGCCGGGGGGCCCCAGCGCCGATCAGAGAATTCCGCGCGGACCTCCGAGTTTTTATGTTTATGCCACTTGTTGTTCCCCTATCCCTGACTCCAGATCCGCCCAACTTCGGCTTTTTTCCCAACTTAAAATTGCGTCGGATATCCACCTATAAGGAGCCGAAAAAGTAGGGCGGTAATTGCTGCACCCAACATAAAACGGGGCGAACATCCACAGAAACAGCAACAGAAAAGTAGGGCGGAAATTGGCATCAGCGGGGCTTGAAAAGTAAGGCGGAAATTCCAAGCCCTACTTACGAATTTCCCCAAAGTAGGGCGGATCCGAAGTCAGGGATCCCCGAGCGCCCGAGCACCGCGCGCCTCCGCGCCTGCCGAACATGCCAGACAGGCAGTCCCACACCATGCCGGCGGCCCCCGAGGCGGCGGGGCGGCCTGCGCCATGGGCGTCCCCTGCCCGCCTCGTGCGCGTGGTGCGGCAGTGGGCGCGGCAGTGAGCGCGGCGCCGCCCACATCCCGCACCTTCCCTGCGCCCTCTCTGCCTTCTCGAGCTTGGCTCTCCTCCTCCTCCTCCTCCTCCTCCTCCTCCTCCGCTTCTCCGAGTCCCGCATGGAGGAGAGGAGCCGGAGGGCGACGACTCCATGGAAGCAGGGGGGAGGAATGGGGGGAATATTGGCGTGCTTGCTTGCCCTTAGGCCTCCGAGGCACAACGCACCAACAAGTATCACGAATTAGGCCACGGCCAGTCGCGTCTCGCCTCGCTCGAGTGCGCACGGCCAGCGTTCGCGTCCTCAGACTTCGCGAGCGGTCGTCCGCTGGACGACGAGGAGAAGCAGCCAGGAGTGGATCTCCTGGGATGCCGCAGAGGACCACAAAGCCCAAATCACAGACGACTGGTAGGGCGCCTGTCTTGGGGCGAAAAACCGCAGTTCGTGGAACTGTCGGGGTTTTGCAGGCAATGATTCTGCGTTCAACAATGGGTTTCTCGTCGAAGACGTAATGACATGGCGAATCAGATGAAAAGCGCGACAACATGAAGCGTGCTTCCCAGCCACATGTACCAAAGCAGCCAAGAGGTCCGGTCCATGCGTCCCCCTTACGTCGGACCAGGTCATGGCGTCCCGCTGTTCGCCCACCGAGTGGAGGGGAGAGCGGGGGAGAGAACAAGAGAACGGGAGAGAGAGAGAGAGAAATATCGACAGAGGGAGAGAAGGACAGATAAAGAGAGAGAGAGAGAGAGAGACATACAGGCATAGAGAGAGAGACAGAGAGAGAGAGAGAGACAAAGAGGGAGAGAGAGAGAGAGAGAAGCAGACAGAGGCATCTAGACAGACAGAGGGAGAGAGAGAGAGAGAGAGAACAAACCAAAGAGAGAGAGAGAGAGAGAAAGAGAGAAAACGCTCACACTTACAAGCGGCGGCGACGCCCGCAACCGCAATCCACCCCGCGGCCGTCCCGGCGATGTGCGCCAGCACCGCGAGAGTCGGGGGGGGGGGGCGCAATGGGGGGCAATTCAGGGGCAGAGGGGTGGGCCTCGAGGAGCATCCGTCGCTCCAGACAGCCCCCTTTGGGAGCACGCAGCGCGAGCCCCGCGGCCCCGGCTGCTCGTCCAGACCTGGAGGCCCCATGGGTGCCTCGTGGGGGGGCGCGCGCGAGGCCCGGAGGGGTGGGGGAGGGGCCTCCTCCTCCTCCTCCTCCTCCTCCTCCTCCTCCACCTCCTCCCTCCTCCTGTTCCTCCCCCCCCTCCTCTTCCTCCTCCTCCTCCTGATCCTCCTGCAGGCCCCGAGGCTGGGGGGGGGGGCCTCGGGGCCCCCTTCGGGCGGGCCACCTCTGGCAGCGCCCGAGCCCTTGCCACTCCGTCGCGCGCGCACGGGTGACGGGGATGATCGAGCAGGGACCGACCGTCCCGGCATTCCTATAGTCTTACCGCGAGATGTTCTTCGAACCCAGAGCTGTTCCAAGAACAAGACAATGTTCTTAGAACACAAGCCCGATGTGATAAAACAAGACAGCCCCAGCCAGAAATGATCTGATAACAGTTCGTGGGAATCACAAGAAAGGTTCTTAGAACACTGCTTGGCAGGACTACAGGCACGCCAGGACGCTTCGCCGCTGCATAATACGTAGCACCCCGCAATTGCGGATAAGAGTAAGGAGGGGCCGGAAGGAGAGGGTGGAAATGAACATGGGGGAGTGGCGGAATCGACTTCGGCGACTTTTTCAAGGCAAGGGCTGGGCTGCAGCGGCCGGTTCGGGCAACGGCCCACCGAGGGGAACGCGCCGGCGCGCCTCTCCACGCACGGCAGTCCAGAAGCCCCCTGGGATCTGCTGGCCCGCCAAGTGCTTGGTCTCGAACTCGACGATGCACTCCCAGACCGCCGAAGTGCGCGCTTGCGCGCGGTCGTCTGGAACAACAGCACGCAGTCGCCAAGCCAGGGCTTCGGTTTTGAAGTCGCACGCCACCGGAACGCCAGCGTTCACCCGCACAGAGCGCACCGGGCAAGAAATGCAACTGGTCGGCGCGACGTCGGCAGCCACGCGCACGGCAGCCGTGCAGTTTGGGCACTCGTGCCAAACACCTGGCCGTGCCAAGAGAGCCTCAGAGCATGAACGAAACAGGTCCTCAAGGAAACGGGTCCTGCACCCCAGAATCTCCCAAGGTCGTTTTTTGAAACCCCGAGGGCGCGCGGGGAAGCCCTGGAAGGCGAAAGCGGCGATAGAAATGGGGGACATTTTTCCTTGAGGCCCCCGTTCCGTCATGATGAACCTCGCGACGCGCAGCGGTGGCAGCTCGCAAGCCAGACTGGGAGCCACTGGGCGCGCGCGGGACGCCATGGCGCACGAGGCGCTGGACTTTGGGTTTCGCGCGCGCCTTCGGTGCCATGCTCGGGCCGAGACGGCCACGGAAGAAAGGCGGAAGGCGACCTCCACGCGCGCTCCCCCGGCGCGCCCTCCCGACGCGCCCTCCCGGCGCGCCCTCCTCGCGCGCCCTCCCCGCGCGCCCTCCCCGCGCGCCCTCCCCGCGCGCCCTCCCCGCGCGCCCCGGCGCGCCCTCCCGGCGCGCCCTCCCGGCGCGCCCTCCCCGCGCGCCCTCCCCGCGCACCGCCTCCTCTGGCCACGCGCGCACAGGGACAGAGAATGCCCGTTCGGCCCTCCTGACTCTGATTACGGACCCCCCGCCTTCTGAGAAGTTTTCTGAGCCTGCCCCCGAAGACGCACGACACTCCTGAGAAGGCGCGAGGACTTCCGAGAAGTCCCGCGGCCATCTTCGGGGATGGACAGACCCCCCTTTAGTAAAACGTGGTTTATTGAAAACGACCTGAGGCCCAAACCTGGCGGGCGCAAGCCTGGAAAATAACGGCCACGGCGCCATCTCGAGGACCGAAAACGAACGGACAATTCACCAATCGACGCGTCGCTGTTGGGAGTTCTGTCCACCCCCGGCCTCCTGAGAAGGCCTCCTCCTCCTCCTTGTCACCTCCCCCCCTCGCTCGCCGCCGGATCACGGACCCCCGGCCCTCTGAGAAGTCTTCTGAGCCTGCCCCCGAAGACGCACGACACTCCTGAGAAGGCGCGAGGACCTCCGAGAAGCCCCGCGGCCTCCTGAGAAGGCCTCCTCCTTCTCACCTCCCCCCCTCCGCTCGCCGCCGGATCACGGACCCCCTGGGGGCCCGGCGCGTGGGCTGCGGGGCCCGCGGAGCGAGGCGCCCCCCCCCCCCCCTGGAGGCCTGGAGCGGCCAGAGCCGCCCGCTTCTCGGCGACGGGGCGCGCCCCGCATCGGTCCGGGAACGGGGCCCGCCGCGGATCCACGCGCCCTCGACTCCAGGCCTGCGCCTGCTGAACTCCTCCTCCTCCTCCTCCTCCTCCTCCTCCTCTTCCTCCTCCTCCTCCTCCTCCTCCTCTTCCTCCTCCTCCTGCTCCTGCTCCTGCTCCTGAATTAAGTCGGGCGTGTCCCCCTACAGGGGCAGCTTCGACGAAGAGTTAGAACTACTCCAAACATGTTCCAAAATGGTCAAAAAAAAACTAAAAAAAGTCCCCAAACTATTTTTTGACTATTTTGGACTATTCATCCTGTAAAGGGACAGGTCCGACTTCACTCCTGAACTCAGATGGGCGACCAAAAGAGGACCCCTACCCCTTCGGGAGGGTGCCTAAATGAGGAGGGCCAGGAACATTATAGAGATAGGGGATCGTTTCTGACGGTGTATATAACCGAAGCCGCCCAGAAGGATTCATTATCCCCAATGCGAAGGCGGGGACCTCAGTGAGGCTACGTCCTCATCGTGCTCTTGGGGCTAGGGGTCACCCTACCCTCAGTGATCAGGAGCCTCGGCCCTCGGCCCCCTCCCCCGCGAGGCGCCCAGGTGCAAGCACGCGCACGCGCGCGCCTTGCTTGGCGGCACGCCGAAGAGGAGCCACCGGAGCAGGTTCCGCACGTTGCCCATGGCGGTCTTGTCCTCGCCCCGCGCACGGGAGGCGAGGGGGGGACACAGCGGTGGGGGGGGGGACCCAGACATTCGCCGAGCTGACGCTTTCAGTCTGCGACCCCAGAGCTCCCGGCCCCTTCCCTCGAAGTGGACTGGCATCTCCGATGCGTTGCTGATGGTCCTGGGGCCCGGCAGCGATGCGCGGTGTCTGGAGCCGAAACGGGGGAGACGCGCTCGGGTATTGAGAAGAATCGTGTATCCGCCGACCCCTTGGGGTCAGGGCGTGTGAGATGCTTCCCCCTCCCCAAACCCCTCCCCCGGAAGCCCGGTCCGGCTGGTTTGGAGGGGGGGGGTGGGGGGCAAAAGGGCTGGCCGCACCCTTGGAACCCCAGGGGGCCCCAAAACGGGCCAAGAGGGCCCCAAAAGGCCCCGGTCCGAGAGGGCTACGAGTCGCCGAAAGATCGCTCCAAGACGCCCAAGATTGCCTCCAGACGGCCCCAGGGGCCCCCAAGACGCCCCAAGAAGCCACCAAGAGGCGTCCCACGAGGCCCTCCAGAAGCAACAATCTTCCCATTCCCTAGGGAAAACGTAGATTTTTAGCACATTCGCGTCTTGGACTTTCACGAGGCCCACAACGGCCCAGGATGCCATCAAGATCGACCCAAGACATCCCAAGAGGCCCCCAAGAGGGCTCCAAGACAGCCCAAGGGGGTCCTAAGACGGCCCCAGAAGCCTCCAAAACGGCCCAGGAGGGCCCCAGGACGGCCCCAAAAGGAGGCCCAGGGGGGAAACCCAGGTGGAAATTTCGAGCACTCGGCCCCGAAAAAAAACTGAGGAGGCGCCAAGAGGCCCCCAGGAGGCTCCCACGAGGCCCCCGAGAGGCCCAAAAGAGACCCCTAGAGGCCTCAACACGGCTCCCAAGAGGCTTCAAAAGTGTTGCCAGGAGAGCCCAGAGATGCCCAAGAGCAGAGCCGCAATCCGCCAAGCGCCCTCGACGAAATCCCAAGAACATGAACACCAAGATTCCCCCAAAATCGCGCGCGGTCCGCACACTCCGTTTTTCACTCTTACTGCCGTCCCAAGGGCCCGAGGGGTCGGCGGTGCGGCGTCAGCCAATGAATCATCGGAAGGAAGACGCCGGCAGGAAGCAACAGGCTGTACAGCCTCGGACTGCTGGAGGGGTGGCACCTTTGCTCTGCTGCTGCCGCGATCGCAGCCGTTTTAGGTCGAATCGTGCTCAGCCGAGCTAGTCGTGCCACGCCAACGGTACTGCGGTTTACGACACGTGCGAAACTTGCCTGGACCCCGGCGGCGGGCCGAGAGAGAGAGAGAGAGAGAGACTGACGCATGGCGGCCGCATCCGCCCAGGCGACCCCCCCGAGGAAATGTTCGGTCTGCGGCGAGTTGGGCCCAGCAGCGTGTCCGTAGCTAACCACGGCAAGACGCAACGGAGGGGCAAGACGAGAGGAAGCGGCCGCGGAACGGCCAGAGAGCTCTCAGACCATGTAGATAATCGAGCGGCACCGGAGGTCCCACCAGAGAAACAGAACCAGCTGCACAAGCACAGACTTGTTTGGGGGTCTGCGCTCCTTTGAATCTTCCATACTCGTCGCGACCACGCCCGTGACTGGCCCCACTGCCCCCTCCTCCCCCCTCCCTGGACACGCCACGACGCGCGCCGACGCCTTCTGGGAATGAGCCATTTTTTGGAGCCTTCCCCGACGGCGCTGACGCGAATCGTGACGTGAGCGGCCCCCTCCCCCCCCCTTAGTTCCCCCCCTGGTCACGCTAACGCTTACCACACAGGGGACGAAACAACGGCCGAGGCCACGCTAACGGCGATGCTGGTTCACGGCGATGCTGGGAGTCTGACAGGTTTTTGCGACGCCGGACTCTAGCAGAACAAGCTGCAGGAAATCACGAACCACGCTTCTCTACACTTCAGAATGCGCGAATGCATCGAGCGAGAACTGCACAGCAAATTGCAGGACAACATGAACAACGCGCTCCTACAGTTGGGTATAGCACGAACCACCCCCACCTGCCATACCTGAACCTACTTCGCCGTTACCTGCATCGCCGTTAGCGTGTCTACGGAACGGTCTCATAGTTTTGCTCCTCGGCCCACGGCACAGAGGGGGGCCCGCCCTGGGCCGAGGGCACCCCCGCAAGACGCTCAGTTCAGGCCAGCGCGCACGTCGAGAGGCTCGGGCGCACTGTCTGCACGGGCGTCCTGGTGGTGCCAAGCGCGACCGCGTGATCTCGAGCCGGGTCCTTGTGCTGCCAGTTGGCAACCGCTCCACACACATTCACATTCGCACGCACACATATAAAGTATAAACATATACGGTAACATAACAAAATAGTATACGTATATACAGATGAACACGTACTACTTTCAATGATGATACATATTATTCGGTGGGGTGCGGGGGAGACGGAGGCAACGGCCGATAATCTAACCTTTCCGCTTTTGGGCAACCTCACGCATGCCCGCGCGCACCAGTACTACCCTTTCTGACCTGCGCAACAGACAAGGTCAAGTTGCCAGAAAAGAAGAGAACAGGCGTGCCAGCTAAGTAAGCTAGTTATCGCCGACCATCTTCTAAGCAAAGAACAGCATGTGGCAACGCAGAAGAAAATAATGAATTGGTTCTTATGGGCACGGCGAGCGACGGCCAGGAGTAGGTTCCCCAACCTGGGTCTGCAGAGGGGCTCAAGAGTCAGATTCATCCTGGGCTAAGAACGTAGGACAGGGCTATATAGGATCGGGATAAATCGCTCCAGAGCGTTCCGGAGCGCTCTCAGAGCGTTCCGGAACACTCTGGAGCGGCCGCGGCGCCCAATACATCCTCCAAACCCGCCGATTCTCAGAGATTTCGAGTTATCCCGATCCGATTTTGTCCCGATCTTCGTGTCGTTTTAGGCTCAGAACGGTCCTTGTTCAAGCGACTTGGTGGCTGCAGCGCAGCCGACCGCCAGGCCCGGCACTGGCGGGCGGGAAAAACGACGCCCGGTGGGCGGCCACGGGGAAAGCAGAGTGCCGGTCGCTGACGAGCCCCCCTCTGCCCCCGACGCTCCTCCAGGGCCCCCTCTTCCGCCACACAGGAGAGCCCAGGATCGGATCGACAAGTCGGATCGGCGATCGACATGAATCGGATCGTCGGAAATCGGCAGCCGAGTCGGGAAAAGTCGGATCGGCAGAAATCGGCAGGCTGGTTTGCCTCCAGTAAGAAATCGGAACTCAAATCGGAATCCCAGATCGAATCGAATCGGAATCGGAAACCATCGAAATCGAATCGAATCGAATCGGAGGAATCGAAACGAGCCCTGGCCACAGGCCGGCCCAGGATGAGACGCGGTCGGCCCGAAATTTGCGAGTGTCTCATGCCTCGTCGCCTTCGCTCTCGTCCGCAGGGGCACGGTGATGGGCCTGGGGCCCGCGTAAGGGGAGACATCACACCGAATCGGCAACACCTCGCCCTGTAGATCGGCAGTGCCCCCCCGATGCCGAAACCGCGCGTTCATGGGCGGGGTCGGCGATCAGGCCCCTATCGGCGATGAGTGGGCGGATGGGGGTCGATGTATCCCCCGCGAACCTATCCCCCCTGGCGTTGCCCCTGGCCGTTGCCCCCTCCGGCCCCCGCTCGCAACGAAGCGGCGCCTTCAGAGAGGTGAACACCAGGTGGGCCCCGTTCGAGTGCGCGAAGAAGCGCAGCGCGCGGCACAGACCTGGCAGGGCCGGGAGGGCCCGCGCGAGGGGCCGGGCCCCAGCCCTCGTCTCCGCCACCCCCCCATACCCACTTCGCGACGCCGTCACGCCCCTCACGTTTTGCAGCGAGGCGCCCCCCCGGAAAGAGATCCCCCAAGTCGGCAACCCTTCGGCGCCTACAATTGATGACGGACCAGATTTGCCAAGTCCGACCTCCGTCGTGACATGTTCAGGCCGACAAGCAAGCAAACTTGCGCGCGCCCACATATTTGCGTGCGAGCAGGCTTGAAACCTTCGAAAAATGCATTGGCACGAAGCTCATGGAAAGCCGAAAACGAGAACGGTGATGATATGCATGATGGTGATGGAGAAATGGGTAATGGATAATGATGATGGTGCTGCTGATGATGATGGTCACTATGATGCTGATGGGATGGGCGATGGATGATGACCGACGCATGTTTGCAGAAACGCGCGCCGCGCAAGTGGTCCAACGACCAGCGCCAGCAACATACGATATACCGGTCATGGTTCTTACCCAGGTGTGCCGCACCTCGGCAAAAAAAAAGCTGATGGCCCGCCACGTCCTTCGCCAGGGTCTGGCGTTCGAGAAGGGCTGCAAACGCAAGTTCTGTGCCAAATGACGTTGGTTCAACTGGAAGAAATGGCAGTGCGATGGCATGCGGCGGCCCGCCTTTGACCCCGAACCCAGGCCACTGATGCTGTCATTTGGCTGAAGCCCGCGCGCTGCCACTTGTCTGGGACTTCTGGGTCCAGCCGAGAACACTTCCCCCAACTGCGTAGGCTGCAAGCATCCTGACACAGCAGTAACACCTCTCCGCCGAGGTCCCCTGCCGCTTCAACCGCCCCAATACCCCTGATTCCGCGCGCCCCGCTCTTCCTGTGCGTTGGGGGGGGGGTCGCGCGATGCGGTGAATGGTCTGTTGTATCGCTCGATAGCTATGTTCTGTCACTCTCTGGTGACAACCTCGGTCAGCGGCACCGCGGGCTGTTCGGGCGGCGGCGACTTGGGCGCGTTGGGCGGCGGCGACCTGTAGAGGGCGGGCGGCGGCGCCTTGGGCCCGCGCGTGTCGAACAGCATAGAGCACACCACAAGGTCGATACTTTTTCTTTTTGTTCCATCCAGCGAAGCCAATGGCAGAGGAGGGGGCGAGCCAGAGAAGGGGGGGGGGGGGGGGGCGAGGGCCCGGGCGCGCGGCGCGCGGCCCGCCTGCGTGCACAGAATTACTCTGGCGCCCTTGGGCGAGCCCCCAAACGAGCCTGGAGGGCGCCCGGCCACGTCGCCCCCGAGCCGCCCGCGCGCGACGCTGGGAGCAGCAGCAGACCAGCTGCCCGCGGAGGCAGCGCGGGTGCCCACCCGGCACAGGGGCGGCTGGCCAGGAGCTCCCAGGCGGGGGCCCAGCAGCCGCAGCGCATGCAGGCCACCCACCCTGGGCCCTGCGATGCGACGTTCGCCCGCCATGCGCTGCCGGCGAAAAGCGCGCGGGCCGCCGCGGCAGGGCTTTGGCGCGGCGCTGACGGCAGCGCGCGCCAGGCCGCGGCCGCCGCGACTGCTGCGTCGCCGCCCGCGCGGGGCTCGCGGCGGCGCGGCCCTGGCGCGGCCCAGCGACGCCGCGCGCGCGGCGGCGCTGGCCTGGTGCTTCCGCGGCTGGCCCTGGGCGCCGCCAACCCGACCTTGGCCCGCATGACCTGCAGCGTCCAGAGAGGGCGTGCAGCATGGCCCCACGAGCCTGCGAAATCCGGCGGTGGCAGCCGCGCTGATGCCGCCGCCCCTGCCAACTTGTCTGCGGCGGCGTTGCCCAGCCGGTCCTCGGCCAACACCCCGCGCGCGGCTGCAACCTTCCTCGTCTATAGGTGGCCCTTGATCCACCGCGCCGTCAGCAGCCCGCAGCGGCCGCGGGGCGCGATGAGCTCCCGCAGATCGGAGTGCGACCATTCCCGCGGGGAGACGCCCTGCCGGAGTGTTGCGACACCGTTTTGGACGTAATTGCTGCGAGTCAGTGACGTCCTCGAGCGGCTGCTGGGCGGCGTGGAGCGCCTGCGCCGCTACCGTGAGCGTTGCGCAGCCTGCGCCCCGTCGACCCCGCCGCTGCGGTCAGTCTGCGCGCCCGCGGCGCCCTCCAGGTGGAACCCGGGCCTGGCGCGGGCTAGCAGTGGGTCAGTCGGGTGCTCGCACGCTCCGTCGGTCCATGCCCGGCCCCGCGCCGCGCCCTCGGCGGGCGCGGGGGCGCTGGCGCCGGCGGCAGCGGCGAGCGCAGCCAGGCGGGCGTCGAGCGGCAGCGCGCCGGAATTCGCGACCCCCGGCGGCAAGCGAGCCCGCAGATCAACGGCTGCGAAGCCCACTGCCACGAGCGCCGTGCGCCTCGGTTCGGAGTCCCGACAGCGGTGCTGCCGGTCCTCGCACGCGGCGCCACAGCGCGAACAGCGCTGCGGCTTGCCCCGCGCCGCGGCCACCGACTCCGCGACCACGTTGCCGGACAGCACCGCGCGCAGCGCGCCGGCGGCGTCCCGCGCCAGCAGCCGCCGCGTGCGCGAAGTCGGTGCGGCGGGCCGCCAGAGCGCGGGCTTCCTGGCGCGCCCGGGCTTCGAGCGAGACAGCGCAGGTGTCTTGCAGCGGACGCTGCTCTGGGCGGCGGCGCCAGCCTTCTGGCGCGGCGGGCGCCCCCCTCTCCAGACCTCGACGTCGCCCCCGAGCTGAAGCTCCGCCATCCTGCGGGCCGCGGCGGCTAATGGGCCCACTCCGCGGCCGCGCCCAGCAGCCATTGCCCCGGCCGCCGCGCGCCACTGGGCACCGGGGAACCGCTGGCGACGGAGAGGCAGCCTTCGCCGCCTGCCACAGCGGCGCGAGGACAGCCACGGCGAGGGGTCCAGCCGCCAGCCAGGCGCCAGCGCACCGAAGACGATCTCCGCGGCCGCGTGGAACCCGCCCCTGCACACCGCCCCCGGGCGGCAGTCCGGAGCGCGGCGAGCTCGCGAGTGGGGGGCCGCCCGCAAGAGGCGCCGCGCAGCCCAGCCGCAGTGCCTGCGGCGGCGCCCAAGGCAGCGTTGGCCGAAGCGCAGCAGCAACAACCCGACGCCCGCGAAGCGACCAAGCACCCCCTGCTCCCGGCTGGCGGTGACCCCGCAGCGGCGGCTGCCTCTGGCCACCGCCGCCACCCCGAGGTCGCGGAAACCGGGCTGGGCACGGATGCTGGGCGTCTGCTCTGCGAGCCACTGCCGCGCCGCTCGGCCGTTGGCAAACTGCCTGCTTCTGCCCCGATTCAACCGCCACCCCATCGCCGCCTCGAAGGCGTCTGTCAGGCGCAACGCATCGCGGACACTTTCGGCAGACTCGCCTCCGAGCTCGGCCGGAGCCCTGGCCCACAACGTGACCGACGGAGCTTGTCATTCACTCGGCCAGTCGCTTGCTTCCAAGACCACGTGAGCTCTGCCAGGATGAACACAGCGAGGGGGCAGCCCAGGAGCAAGCCCCGGGCAGGGGGCCAGGCAGCCCTTATGGCCTCGCCGACACGGATGCGCCGACGCGCTCGGTAGGCCGCCAACAAGGTCGACGCGCGCCTTTGGCGGCGCCGGGGGGCGTGCCTGGGGCTGGCACTGAGGCGGCGCTTTGAAGGCCTGGCACAGGACGGGCGGCGCCTTCGGCCACAACGCTGCAATCGATGCTGCGCCGCCGTCTCCGGGAGCTGCGCTGCCGTCGGCCGAAGCAGTGGGCTCTGCTTGGCGCGGCGCTTGGCGCGGCGCCTTGAGCGGCGCCTGGGGCGGCGACTCGGGCGTGGGGCGACAACTAGGGGTTGTGACTGAGGCGCCTCCTCGCCCGCCCAACCGACCTCACCTTCGTTGCGCTCGTCGAGATCGACGACGTGGGGCCCCCGACCTTGGCTCGCCCCCCGGCCCCCGCATGGTGCGCTTGGCCGCCAGCGGCGGCGGGGGCGAGGCGCAAAGCCGTTCGGCGGCGGGAGCGGGGGCGGCCTTCGACGCGGCAGCGGGCGCTGTCCTCGACGCGGGGGCCGGGAGCGCCGCCCCTACCGGCGGGGGGCAAAAGACAAGGAAGTAGAGGAAGAAGATGAGGCGGAGGAGGAAGAGGAGGAGGAGGAGGAGGAGGAGGAGGAGGAGAAAGAGAAAGAGGAGGAGGAGGAGGAGGAGAGGAAGAAGAGGAGGAGGACGAGGAGGAGGAGCGAGGAGAGAGAGAACGAGCCTCCACACCGAGGAATGGGAGGAGGAGAACGAGGAGGAGGAGGAGGGGAAGGAGGAGAAGGAGGAGGAGGAAGATGATGAGAAAAAAGAGGAAGAGCTGGAGGGGCCGCCTGCTTCTCGTCGGCCAACGACGGCTGCGCCCTCGCGGGCTTAGCTAGCGTGGCCCCCGCGGCATTGGACTTGGCCCCCCACTGGCTGGAAGTCTGCGTGGGTTGATCGACATCGCTCCTGGCGCCTGGGCAATTTCGCTGCAGCTCACACGCGCGGTCCCAATCGTCGAAATTGACGATTCTATCCTCGGGCGCCCTGCGTTCGCGTCTCCACGTCACTCTCGACTTCCAAGGCAATCTGCCCAAGGTTGCGAAAAGGCACTCTCGCGTGTAAAATTGAGCCATGGTCGAGTTGCTTCCCCAGAAACGACGTCGACCGCGCCCATGACCTGCAGCGGGGTATTCCCCCGCTATTTGAACGGCTCTTCTTCGGCATCGACTGCCCGCCCCAAGCAAGGCCAATGCTCTCGGATGATGCGGGCGAACGCGTCGCCTGCAGACTGGCCACCACCCCCCTTGTCGAAGAGCTTGTTCTGTTCCTCGTGGCACGAAAATGAGATGCAATTACCATCCAACGCAGCGCCGTATTATTAGCAGTCGTGCTACCTAGCCAAAAGATGCTACAAAGGCGATCGTCACCGTGCGCTGACGATCGCCGTCTTCGCTTCGACCCCAGTGCCCGGAATGGTGTCATGTGGTCTCCTTCCGGGGAGGCCAAGGCGTATGCAGGAAGGGGGGGCGCACCTGGCTCCCCT